AACACATTTACAAACCTACACAAAAACAAAAGAAAAAAAAAATCAAAAACAGCTTTCCCGTTCACGGTGTTCCCTTCATGGAAGTTAGATATATTTGGTGACGGTTTCACCGGTTTGTGGCTTAACGATGACAGATCTGAGTCATCTATGGGTGGTTGCAGTGGGGTTGTGACGATCGAAGGGTTTGTGGCTTAACTGTGACAGATCTCAGTCGTCTGTGGGTGGTTGTAGTAGGGTTATGACGATCAGAGGGTTTGTGGCTTAACAGTGACAGATCTGAGTCGTCCGTGGGTGGTTGCGGTTGGGTTGTGACGATCAAAGGGTTTGTGGCTTAACGGTGACAGATCTGAGTCGTTTGTGGGTGGTTGCAGTGGGTTTGTGACGATCAGAGACATCAGGGCTTCACGGTGCCAAATTTGCGACGTACATGGGTGGTTGCGGTGGGGTTATGACGATTGGAGACATCAGGGCTTCACAGTGACAGATCTGCAACGTTGGTTGGTATTCATGGTGGGTTTGCGATGATGGTGGAAGATGGTGATGGGTGGTGGTCATGCGGTTCTATTGTGATGATGTTGACAGATTAATTGGGCGGTGTTGTGGGGTGGTTTTCTGATTCAGGTGGTTGGTCGTTTGGCTAATGTGGTTTGTTTTGTATTTGCAGGTGGAAGATTATGTTAGAGAAGAAAGATGTTTTGTGACAGTGGTGAAACACTGAAGGTGGTAACGCAAAGTAAGAAAGTGACGATGCTTCGGTGGTGAAGCACTGAAAGTGGTAATGCAAAGTGAGAAAGTGATGGTGGTGAAGCACTGAAGCTGATAATGCAAACTGAGAAAGTGAAATGGTGAAGCACTAAAGCTAGTAATGCAAACTGAGAAAGTGAAATGGTGAAGCACTGAAGCAGTGAAGAAAAGTGAGAAAGTGAAATAAAAGCAGGACTGCAAACCGTCTTCAACGGTAAAAAACTGTTAGGATTTTATTTTTCAGGATTGCATTGTGTAAATATTGAACCAAACATTATTTGTAAAATCCGGTTGAGAATATGGATAAAAATATTGAACCAAACGCACCCTAGGAGTCTTGTGCATTCTTTTCAAAGTTGGAATAGTGTAAAATGCCTTTTTTTCCTTTTAAAAAGAAAAAAATATGAGGGTATATTTGATAGTTTTGAAACTAACAGGGAGTAAAATTTTCAAAATTTTCAAAGTGGCTCGAGCTTCAGCCGAGCTTGAGCTGCACTCTTCAATATTGAGCTTGAGCTCAAGTCGATTTTTCAAGTTTGTCAACCTTAAGCTCGACACTGTAGCAACCAAGTCAAGCTTGATTAGCCCAAGCTCGGCTCGACTCGACTCGACTCGTTTACACCCCTACTCTTACTGAAAAATATTCACTTCTCAATTCTTTGTGTATATGATGACAAAGGAATAATGTTGTTTTTACATGGTCCTATAGAGATGCTCAAGACCAACCCAAGGGTAGGCACCTGCCTAGGGCCCAAAAAAAATAGGGTAAAAAAGGGCCTAAATTTTTTATAATTTTTTTTGAATATATTACAAAATAAAAATAGTGTATAATTTCTTATCCAGGTCGACCCAAGGGACCCCCAAAAAAAGTCTAGAGGCCCAAATTTATTATAAACAAAAAGTGAAGATATTTCTTTAGTAACATATGAGATTTAAAATTTTGAATTTCTATTAGGCATGATTATTTGGTATGAAATGTTATTTGCTGCTAATACAGTTAGTAAATATTTACAATATAAAAATATAGACATTGTTGTTGCAATAGATCAATTGAAATGTCTTGTTTCATTTTTTGAAAAATTTAGAAAAAATGGGTTTACATCTTCTATGATTTCTGCTAAAGAGATTGTAGAGCAAATGAATAAAGAACCAAAATTTTGTGAAAAACGTACAATAAAATGAAAAATACAATTTGTTGAGAATGAGAATGAAAATGAAAAGATGAAATTATTTGCTGAAAATCTTTTAGAATAAATTATTTCACATATTTAGGTCCTCGCTTCAAAGTAGGTTTGAACAATTTGAAATATATTATGATATAGAAAAATTAAAATTGCTTGATGATGATAATTTGAAGAAAAATTGTTTAAATCTTGAAACAATTTTAAAACATGACATGTTTAGATTTATATTCAAAATTAAAAGTTTTAAAAGAAATTATAAACGTGAAAATTAAAACACCAATTTAGATACTAAATTTTATTAAAAAAAAAAAAAGTGAATTCTTTTCCAAATGCATGGATAGCTTACTAACTATTCATTTTACTATAGCTTCAGTAAAAAGAAGTTTTTCAAAATTGAAGTTAATAAAATTTTATTTGCGTTCAACAATGTTACAAGAAAGATTAGGTAATTTGACTATATTATCAATTGAAAAATATTTGGTTTCTAAACTTTAATACAAAAATTTAATTTATGATTTTACATCTCAAAAGGCAAGAAAAATAAATTTGAAATAAATTTTTTTAATGTATACTTATATTATTAGAAGATCTCAGAGTAATTCTCGCATAAGATCACAAATGTTCTTGAGATAGGTGTTGGAGATGCTGAGTTACCCTCTTTTAAAACATTTCCAAGATTCATTGATTCAAGATGAAGAATTGAATGGATAGTCTATTTTGTTTAGTTCTTGCCATCGATTTTAAAGGCAATATATTGATGCTTCTGATGTTTGACATTTTGAAAAATATATAAGAAAATAACAAAATTAATATTATGACAGAGAATTCAATATTTTTGTCATAATATTAATTTCAAATATTTTAAAATAAACTTAGTCCAGATAAAAATTCAAAACTTCTAGTTTTGACTTCAGGGTTTCAATATCTCAATTTTTTTTTTTAATAAACTTCAAGTTAATAAGTAAATTCATAATTTGGAGCTTTAAAAATGTGATATTTAAAACCTTAGTTTCGATCTTATTTCAGGTTTATAAACAATGCTAGTTTTACAAAGACACATATAAATGAGGCATACAAAGACAATCCTTATCTTTTATTTTCATGATTTCTTTCTCTTTCTTTCTCTCTCTTTTTCCCCTTTTTTTTTGTTTTTTTCTTCTGAATGATATCACTTTGTATCTCTCTTTATATGAATTTATGTAAGGATAGTATTTTTCATAAACTAAACTTATTTTCTGACGTGGAAAGTCAAATTTTTATATTGAAAACCACAGAGTATGCTCATAAGGATAATTATAATAAAATGACATATATAAATTGAATACATATAATAAATCAAATATTTAACAATAAAAAGACGTTGAAACATACCCTCAAATCAACGTGCTAATAACATGATGAAAACGTAAGAGTGCAAAATAAGACGGACTAAATAATTTGGCAAAAGTTGGAGAGCTTAAAAGAGGCGGTCCTTATTAAAGATTCTCTTAATTTGGTGGAATATCTTGTAGAGGGAAAAAGGGGTATTCATACCTAGTTAGTAAAGACGGGTAAGGCAAAAAAATGGTATGGAAATTTTACGGGTATAATACGGTAAACAGTAAAAAATACATTTATAAAAATTCGACCATAAAATTTGGATATGGAAAAAATACAATACGGGTATATATGGGTTTAATACGGTACATTGTCAATAATACGTTTTGAAAAATACGGTAATATCAATCTTAGTTTTAACACTTTTATAGACTGCCTGGTTAAAATCAATATAACATTTCAAATGCAAAGTATTCAATTAACCAAAAACACAAATACACAATATATAAATATAATTGATATTCAAAATTATAGTCTCCAAACTCAAACACATATTTAGCCAATATTCAACTATAGTCTCAAATCAAACACAACTATAACAAAACCAATTGTTTACAAAAATTACAAATACACATTGTCAGTTAGTTTACAAAAATTACAAGTGTACCGTGTAAAAGTTAAACTATTATTTTATTAAATTTTCTCCCTTCTTTCTCTTCTCATTCATTTTCTCGTTCTTTTCAAAACTTTCTTCTCTCTTTCTTCTATAAGTTTCTTCTCTTCTTTCTCTTTGTTTTCTCCACCTTCTCTTCACTTCCTTCTTAAACTTTCGTCCCTTTTATATAAACTTATGTCTATTTTGTTTCTCTTCCCTTCTCTTTTCTCTCTCTTCTTCTTTCTTATGGAATTTTGTTTGTTAGAGTCGGTTGTGGGAGTTGATAACTTGTTTGCTGGAGTTAATTGTTGTGTGTTGATTGTGGGAGTTGATTGCTTGTGGAAATTTGTGGAAGTTTGTTGATTGTTTTGGGTTTCCGATTTGAGCGAAGAAGAGGAGGTTTAGCGATCTGTTTTAATTTTTAGTAAAAAAAACCCACTAAAACGACGTCGTTTGGGGGTTAAATTTTTTTTTTCAATAGTTCGTGAATTATTCGCGAATAATACGAGAAGCCTTATTATACGTGAATTATACGGTAGATTTTACAAAATATGTATACATATATTTTATATGCGAATTATACGATTGTCCGTATAATTCGCGTATAATACGTGTTTTTACTAACTAGGATTTATACTAAATTTTGCCGCCCACCTAAGCAAAGGATCAATGCCAGTACAGATAATATTTGTCTTCATTTTGTAAATAAGCATGCCACCATAAGACATGTGATGTGGTGGACTGCCACCTAGCTTTACAACAAGTTTAGATTTTATCTAAAATATAGTTAGATAAAGACTATTGGATGTATTACTCAAAAGTCTTGAATTTAAGTCATCTCATCTATTAATAGGGATGAACACTGAAGAGTATACCTGGTTATTAACTTCAGGACCCCGAGAGATTAGTTAAAGTATGCACAAATTGATCCGAACAGCCTCGGTTTCCAAAAAAGAAAAAAAAATAGTTTTAGGGTGTTTGTTGAAAGACAAAATCTCGGAGGTGCACAAGGTGATTTTCATTTCTCACATTCTCCTTGTCAATCCGCCTGTCCCCATCTTCTAAGCATTTAACTTTACCAAATTTCACTTGATGACTTATGATTGCGTTGCAAAAACTCTATCCAAAGCAATCAACAGACAACAATGGAAAATCCAAGTTCATCTTTTCTTCTGCTTCTTTTTTTAATTCATGTTTCCTTTCCATGGACTACCTCATATTCAGTCTACGAAACTTTTCTTCAATGCTTAGCACATCAAACTCACTCCAAAAACCAAGTCCCCAACATAGTCTACACCCAAACAAATGCATCATACACCTCAGTTTTACGTTCGTTTATCAGAAACGCTCGCTTCAATTCTTCTTCAACGCCAAAGCCTTTACTCATAATAACCCCATTACAAGAATCCCATGTTCAACAAGCCGTGATTTGCACCAAACAAGTTGGTTATCAGCTCAAAATCCGCAGCGGCGGCCACGACTTTGAGGGCATATCGTATATCTCTGACCACCCGTTTTTCGTTCTTGACACGGCGAATCTACGATCGGTATCTGTTGACATAAATGAAGAGTCGGCTTGGGTTGACGGTGGCGCCACATTGGGTGAAGTTTACTACGCGATTTGGGAGAAGAGTAAAGTTCATGGCTTTCCTGCTAGTATTTGTCCCAGTGTTGGCGTCGGTGGGCATTTGAGTGGCGGCGGTTATGGCAACATGTTGCGAAAATATGGCTTGTCGACGGATAATGTTGTGGATGCGAAGATTGTTGATGTTAAGGGGAGAATTCTTGATAGAAAAGCAATGGGAGAGGATCTTTTTTGGGCTCTTAGAGGAGGCGGTGGAGCAAGTTTTGGTGTTGTGTTATCTTATAAAATCAAGTTGGTTTCTGTTCCAGAGAGGGTTACTGTATTCAGAGTTGAAAGAGTTTTGGAAGAAAATGCAATTGATTTGGCCTATAAGTGGCAGCTTGTGGCGCCTTCGACTGATAAAAATCTGTTCATGAGAATGCTTATACAGCCCATTACGAGAAACAAGAAGAAGACAGTTAGAATATCGTTTGTGACATTGTATTTAGGCGGGGCGGAGAGTCTTGTTTCTCTCTTGGCCAAGGATTTTCCTGAATTGGGGCTAAAAAGGGAAAATTGTTTAGAGATGAGCTGGGTTGATTCAGTTCTTTGGTGGTATAAGCTTAATGGCACTTCATTATCATCGCGTGCTCTGCTTGATAGAGAACTTAACTCGGCTATTTTCTTGAAGAGGAAATCAGATTATATTCAGAAACCAATTCCGAAGAATTCCTTGGAATCGCTATTCGAGACATTGATGGTACTGGAAAAAACAGGACTGGTTTTCAATCCTTATGGTGGGAGAATGAGTGAAATTCCAGCGTCGGAGACAGCATTTCCACACAGAGGAGGAAATTTGTTTAAGATACAGTACTCAGTGAATTGGGATGAGGCTGATATTGAGCTTGAAAAGAACTGCACATCTCAGATAAGAAACCTTTACAATTTCATGACTCCATTTGTGTCCAAAAATCCAAGGAGGGCTTACTTGAACTATAGAGATCTTGATATTGGCATTAACCATCATGGAAAAGACAGTGATAATGAAGGTGAAGTTTATGGGGTCAAGTATTTTAATGAGAATTATGCGAGATTGGTGACAGTAAAGACAATGTTTGATCCTGAAAACTTCTTCAGGAATGAGCAGAGTATCCCTTCTCAACCAAGTAAGCCATAGATTAAATTTTGGTCCTTCTGTTATTTGTATAGTGTTATCCAGGGATTTGCTTAATATTTATTTGGATAAAAATTTAAACTCATTTTGCTCAGGTGTAAAAAACAGGCAGTTGACCTCCAACTCAATTTCCTGGAAGCTGCCTGGGGTACTTTTCTTAATATACTTGCTTCTCTTTTGTAGAATTATATTGATTTAAAGGATTTTTCATAATTGCGATTTTTACACTGGTTTTTCAATGGGATGCATCATTAAGGCCCTTTATTCTTTAAATGATCCAAATTGATACACACTTTTCTGTCTTCTGATTGCAAAAAATTATCTGAAATGGCTCAACACTCCACCAAGCTCCACAAAATCTAGCAAATGGGGTTGTGTGCTACTTTTCATCAAAGTTTAGTTCCTAGCTGTACTGCATTTGAGTATGTATGTGCAGTAATTCAACCATTACATTATGAAATGCAACTAGAACCAATTAGATTTCAAGTGTCCTTGCTCCACTGGTTTGTATATTATTGCAGATGAACTATTTAGTAGATGGATGGTCATGTTCCCTTTAAGTTATTGATAGATACCTTTCCCATCAGAACTTCGATATCAGATTAGCCGAGTGGGATCGCACTCTGAATGCATAATGCTGCACTTCAAGGAAAACTTCTAAACTAAAATGTAAATTAAATATCATATTAACAAAATTTTCTCTCCCTTAATTTGTTTTAACTTGTTTAATCATAATATAATAAACAAGTTGTGCTACTAGTTTACTTCCAAGCTGTACCAGCATTTCTGTATGTATGTGCAGTAATTCAACCCCTTTATTATGAAATACCACTGGAACCAATTAGATTTTCAAGTGTCCTTTAAATCTTGGCTCCACTAGTTCTGATATTGCAGATAAATTATTGAGTGGATTGAATGGTCATGTTCCCTTCTAACTGTTGGTAATACAGATTCCTTTCCGATATGTTTCATATCAGGTTAGCCAAGAAGGATCACACTCTGAATGCATAAGGCTGCCTTTCAAGGATACATCAATCAATTAGAATGCATAATGGAAATGTTTTACCATTTGATAATAAAGCTACCTGGACTTCATAGCTAAGCTCAGAAGTCAATTTATTTCAGCAGCCTGCTCTTTTAATTTTCATCAACTTGAATAATGAAAAGCTGAAATAGTCATCATTCATTAATAGTGTTTGTCAGGTTGTTGGTTCTTTTGAAACAAGGACAATGCCTGCTTGTTTGATTCATTTCTAAAATCAATAAACGAGTGATCCTCATTTATCTGTACTAATTTAATTTCAAACCCAGTCACCATTGGCGGCTTGTAGACTATTGCATTATTCTAATGAAATCAACCAGTCAGAAAATAATCCATTCACATTTATTCTATACCTACTTACTAATTTGTATTATATACACGATAAAAATTGACTTACAATCTAATCTTACAAATTTTTTCTCACAATTCTAATATGACAGTTCACAATTAAACAAATAGGACTCATAACGAGCAAATGAGACTTATTTGTGAACTGACCAATTGCGAGTTACCACATTGAGGTTGTGAGAAAAAATTTGTGAAATTAGATTATAAGTATAGTATTACACGTTTACCTTTAGACAATGAACCCAACTGGTACCCTTTTTACTTATGCTGAAATTCTAAACACTGTTTAGTACTAAAGAAGGCAGTTTGATTCCTAAATTACAGGAAAAATTAAAGCTAACTCTTGAACTCAAATTGACTTGATTTATTATTGATAATATACTTTGACCCTCCTTTTAACAATGTAAAGATGAAAAAAAAACGATGTAACCAATGGCCATAAAACTCTGGCCTAAGATTAATGGACCTTGTTAACCCAAAAAAGAAAACCCAACAGAGCCCACTTCCATAAGCCCAAAATTTTAATATGGACATACTACAAAACCCCCAAACAATTAGGGTACTTTTGGTTAGACGTTATATGAGATTATTGAGGTAATGTCATTTTATTATTACTTTTGATTGTTAAGTAATATAAGATTCTGGAAATTTTCCAATGCCAATAGTACTTACTGTTGGTAATATAGGAGGTAATCTGATTATTTCTATTTTCTTAGGTATTTTAAGATTACTTGGTAATCTTATTTTTGTTACAATTTTACACCTTATTAATAAAATTTTAGGATAATAATGCCCTTGTTTTAAAATTTTTTTATAAAAATACCAATAGACTATTTTATCTTTATACACAAAGTTTTTAGGACATAAATACACTTGAAATAAAAAAAAAAAATTGCCTAAGGGTGGTGGCTGGATCGGCAGTGATGGAATGCGCACGACCAGTCATATCTGACCAGCTATGCACCGATATGATTGTTTTCATCCATGGATAACAGCCAGATTTGGCATTGAAACAGCCACAGATTTGGTTGTGAAATGCTATATATCTGGCCTTTCACGACTAGATCTCCGCTTTTGCCGTCGCGGCGGTGGTGGCAGGCCGCCGACAGTGGCTTGGGGTGGGTGGGTGTGCTTTTGTTAAGTGTTAAACTTTTTTTTTGTTGCTAGAGTGTTTTAACTAAATCTAAAATGTAGGAGGTTAAAAAAAATTGTTCAAAATATAATAATAAAAATGATATTATATTAATATTTAAAAAGGAGGGTAATTTAGTAAATTATATAACATACCCATCAATTTATTCCTCCCAACCAAACATATTAATATAACATACCCACCAATTTATTTCAACTAACCAAACACAATTTCTTAAACATTCCAAATAATCTTCAAGATAATTTATCTTTCTATTAATATAACATTCCTAGTAATACAATATTCTTTGAATCAAACACACCCTTAGATGCTATGAAGGATCAAATTAATAAGTCTTCATTATAATTGGAGGAATTATGTGAATCTTTTTTAAGGGTTAAATTAAAAAGTGACCCAAAATTTAAGGCTCTTTCAGGGTAACCCTTTTTTACACCCCCTTATCCCCTAGGTACATGTCTCTTATCAACACTTTTCTCACACAATTTCTCCATTTTACTCATCAATTTCTCTTCAATCTTGTCACTCTAACCAGCTAAAAGTTTGTTTATGTAATTTTGACTCTTCTAAGGTGTAAAAAGCTCAACAAGTTCGGGGATGGCAAATGAGTGGCTTGGGGTGGGATAAGGTCCAAACTAATCCCATATAACATTTATGGAGAAAGTAATGAATTCTACTTTTCTTAATGTACGTACTTGCTTCCTTTATGTATAATTATATTGATATAAATGAGTTTTCATAATTGTGATTTTTGACTCTGGGATCCATCGTGCAGGCCCTTTATTTCCATGCTGACCTAACATTTCTGTATGTATTTGCAGTAATTCAACCACTACATTATGAAATACTAGTAGAACCCAATAAGATTTCAAGCATAGTTTTAATATTGCAGATGAATTATTTAGTGGATGTATGGTCATGTTCGTTTTAAGTTTTTGTAATATAGATTCCTTTCCCATTAGAACTTTCATATCAGATTAGCCGAGTAGGATCACACTCTGAACGCATAATGCTGCTCTTCAAACATACATCGCATTTAAGATAGTTAAACCAAGAGATGGGAATGTTTTACCAAATAATAATAAAGCTACTAGACTTCATTACTAAGCTCAGTATTCAATTTATTTCAGCACCTAGCTCTTTTCATTTTCAGCTGAAATAGTCATCACTCCTTAATATTGTCTGTCAGGTTGTTGTGTTTGTTGAAACATGGACAATGCCGGCTTGTTTTGATTAATTTCTAAAAAATCGATAACAAACTATCATCTCTCCTGTTTAATTTCAAACCCCAGCCAATAATGGCTGCTTGTGGTTAATAGCACTTTCTGTGCAACATGTTACAATATAAACAAATGATAAAAAGGTAAACATATTTTATTTGTGCTAATTTGACATATATTGATTTATTATTATTATTATTTTATGACTAGAGATGTTCGGGTCAGTTTGTGTGTATCACTGTATTTTAACTAATCCCTCAAGATCCTTGAACTATCGGCCGGATAAGAGTTCCAGTGGTCACCCCTATTAACAACCGTGAGAATTTAAACTTAAAGAGACCATATTTGACATATATTTATTGACTCTTTATAACACGATGTATAGAAGTTTTTTGGGTGAACTTAATAGAGATTTGTCATTGTAATATGCTAAATTAATGCCGTAAGTAATGTATTGAAGAGTAACATTTACGAAATATGAAGCGCACAAGTCGCAACATTATACTGTTATCTTAATTCTATAAATTATATCATTATCAATTTGCCTTTAGCCAATGAACCCAAGTGGTACCCGCCCTTTTACTCATGCTGAATTACAGGCACAATTAAAGCTAGCTCTTAAACTCAAATTGACTTGATTTATTCTTGATACTTGACCCTAGTTTTATCAGTGTATAAGATCAAAATTACAATATAACCAATGGCCATAAAACTCTGGCGTAAGATTAATGGACCTTAATAACCCAATAAAGCAAGCCCTATGGAGCCCTCTTCCAGAAGCCCAAAGGCCCAGAATTTTCCATGGATATACTGCAAAGCCCACAAACAATTTGATGTTGTGAATGATCAAATTAATAAATCTTCGTTAAAATTGAAGAAATTTTATTTTGACTCGTTTTTAAGGGTTAAATTGAAAAGTGACCCAAAAATTAAGGCCACTTTACTCATCAATTTATCTTTTATCTTGTTACCTTAACTAGCTAAAAGTTCGATTTACGTAATTTTGACAGATTTATTAAACCCCCTGAGGTTTAGCCAAATCAAAATAAACCTCCTATGGTATTGGTAATTAGGTACTGTCAGCTCTCTTAACTTTCTTCCGTTAGTTTTAATTGAATCAAGGGTAAAAGAGTAAAATACCCCTAAAATTTCATAATTATTAAGGGTTAATACATTTACACTCTCTAAAAAATCATACAAATCCGTATATCCCAAAACTTCTGAAACTACCACATAGACCCCAACAAATATGGAAGTTTACTGAATTTGATTAAATACAATTATGAATTACCCTAATTATATTTTGAACTTGACTAGTTTACCATAAAATTTATTAACTACTCATTTTAAATAAAAAATTAAAAAACTAATAAAAATTAAAAATTCTTAAATAACACACCTTAACCTAAAACCAAAAACACTAAAGAAAAGGATGTAAAAAAAAAAAAATTAAAGATTTTGAAAAATTAAGAATACTTAAAATAATAATAATAATACTAAAAAAAACCTAAAAAAAGAAGTTAAAATCTAAAATATTTTCCAAGTTCAATTTTTAGGTCATTATAATTTTAATTTTTTTTCATATATTTCTTATTCTTTTCATTATTCCAGATATTTTTCCATTTCAAGAGATTTTTTTTTTCAGATTTTCAGATTTTCAAATTTTTTATTTATTATTTTTTTCTATTTTCTTATAAAAATTTGTAATAGTTTCACATGATTTAATAATTTTTGAAGCCTAACATGGGTGTTGAGGGTTACTATAGATAAAATGAAAGTAGGGGGTGGGTTGCAAACTTGCAATTGATTGGCACAATAGGGGAGGGCATTAAGGTCATTTATCCTTTCAATTGTTAAAAGAAACAGAAAGATACTAACAACGGGGGTTGTGATTTATTATCAATAGCCTTGGTCCATACTCAGGTTGTTTAAATTATTGATCCCTTATTTTGGGCTGCGCAGGGACGAGGGGGGAATAATTGGCTTGGGGTGGGATAAGGCCCAAACCAATTAAGCCCACATAAAATTTATGGAGAAAGAACTATTTGGTTGACACGTCGTGTAGATAATGACATAGAGGTGTTGGGTTACTTGGGTTCCATTTGGTTGGCTTTGGGGAATACTATTATTAGTATTTTCAAAAAAGTTAAATAGTAAAATACCAAAAAACTCATAATATTATCTAATATTATTCAATTTTTTTTAAATCCCCTAAATTTGTTAATTTAATTAAATACCCCTAAATATTTTTTTTAATTGCAAAAATACCCCTAAACCCACATTATACCAGTTCCAGCTACCACTGCCAGAAGTTGGCCGAAATCTGATATAATGGCACACTATCGGCTGAATCTCTGGCCGTCACCAGACGTCAACGACGACCAATATATGGTCGTCGTTGACGAGCAAATGCGGCCATTAATGGCCAGATCTAGCCGTAGATCTGGCCCGACAAAGGCCATATCGGCACACGACCGGCAAGATCCAGTCGGTCATGCATCAATACGACGACTCCGGCCACCCTCCGACGGTGGTAGTCAGCTGTGATTATTCAATGGGTGGGTTGGAGGTGTTTTTGTTAATTTTCAAAGTTTTATTATAGGGGTGTTTAGTAAATAAACAAACATAGGGGGTATTTTTATTAATTTTCAAATCCTAAATTGTAATACCCGTCCAATTCAACTTTTTTTAACTTTTTTAAAAAAACTTTTAAGAAAACTACAAAAAAGTGAACCAAACGGAGCCTTAATACTTTATTGATATTGTTATCCAGAACGTAATTTTATTGCATTATTTATATTTAGGATTTATTATAAAAGTTTATATGTAAAACTGGTAAGTGCTAGTTTGAAAAAATATTATTTATGTTTAAGATTTATTGTGAAAAGTTTATAGGTAAAATTGGTTAGTGTATATATTTGAAAATAAATCACATAGTTCACAAATGGTACAAACTTAAAAATCCAAAGAAATCATTCAAATCAAGTTATTGATAATTTGGTGTTTGACTTTTTTTTTTTTTTTTAATTGTAAGAATCTCGTACCCGGTTTGTAACCTGGAATCTAGGTAGACTAGACCTAGTCTGGCACATAATTTCCTAGGCTTGCACTCGGGTCTAGCTTCAATGTCCGAGCCGATTTTCGACCCGAAAAAGGGGCTCAGCTTGGAAATTGACGTCCCTTTTGAGAGTAAAGGAAATGAAATGAGAATAAAAAGAAGAATATATATATCAATTGAGTGTATTTATCATTTAAATGTAATTAATTATTTTTTTCCAAATCAGTTTATATTATTCCAGAGGTTAAAATTTGATTATTATGTGGTATTCATATGCAAATCCGGCTATAAGAATAATGTCATGATCATAGAATAAATAAGGCCATGTATTGTATGACAATTAGTTAATTGAAATGATAGATTAATAGTGCCTTCAAACGGCCAAATATGTTTATAACTTGACAATATATATAATACACAAATTGGTTAAGAGAGTAAATTTCAATACATAGAAAGAGAGAGTGAGAGTTGTTTTCGCCGGCAATTCGATATCTACAAGATTGCTGTCCATGCTACAAAGTAATAGCCAGCTGATGATAGATTCAATAATATATTAATATTTTCTTGCGCCTGATTTTAGGTTGATTATTGATATTGAAACACGTAGAACATATAAATCTCAGATCGATGATAAAAATGGCCTAATCATATAGGAACATCTATAATTGGTATATATATTTTACCGTATGTAAACAAAATGTTTAATGACCAAATACAACAATAACTAAGATCACTCAACAATGAAAATGTCAAGGTCTTGTAATTCATCCAACTCTGAGGCCTCAATGCTTCTTCTTCTTTTACTAAGCTTTCTCAATCTTTCCTGTTCATGGGCTGCTTCAGGTTCAGTCTACGAAACCTTTCTCCATTGCTTAACACATCAACCGAACTCCACAAACCAAGTCTCCAGCATAGTCTACAGCCAAAAAAATGCATCATACACCTCAGTTTTACGATCGTATATCAGAAACGCTCGTTTCAATTCTTCTGCAACGCCAAAGCCTCTACTCGTCATAACCCCATTGCAAGAATCCCATGTTCAGGCTGCTGTGATTTGTTCCAAACAAGTTGGTTATCAACTTAAAATCCGTAGCGGCGGCCACGACTTTGAGGGCATTTCGTATATCTCTGAAACCCCCTTTTTTATTCTTGACATGTTTAATTTACGATCAATAAACATTGATATGAACGAAGAGTCCGCTTGGGTTGAAGCTGGAGCCATACTGGGTGAACTTTATTACAGGATTTGGGAGAAAAGCAAAGTGCATGGCTTTCCTGCTGGTGTTTGCCCCACTGTTGGCGTTGGTGGGCACTTGAGTGGCGGAGGTTATGGCAACATGATGCGGAGATTTGGTTTGTCGATTGATAATGTTGTTGATGCTAAGATTATCGATATTAAGGGGAGAATTCTTGATAGAAAAGCAATGGGAGAGGATCTCTTTTGGGCACTTAGAGGAGGGGGTGGAGCCAGTTTTGGTGTTGTGTTATCTTATAAAATCAATTTGGTTCCAGTTCCTGAAACGGTTACCGTTTTCAGAGTTGAAAGGCTCCTGGAAGAGAATGCGACGGATGTGGCCTATAAATTTCAATTTGTGGCGCCTAAAACTGATAATAATTTGTTCATGAGAATGCTTTTGCAGCCCGTCATACGAAACAAGAAGCAGACTGTTAGAGTTACGATTATGACATTGTATTTAGGTGGGGCGGACAGTCTTGTGTCTCTCTTGGGCAAGGAATTTCCTCAATTGGGGCTAAGAAAGGAAGATTGTAGGGAGATGAGTTGGATTGATTCAGCTCTTTGGTGGGCTAGTTTAGGTGTTGGTAATCCAAAAACTCTGCTTGACAGAAATCTCGACTCGGCTAAATTCTTGAAGCGGAAATCGGATTACCTCCAGAAACCAATTCCCAAGCGTTCCTTGAATTTGATATGGAAAGTTTTGATGGAATTGGGAAAAACCGGATTGGTTTTCAATCCTTATGGAGGGAGGATGGATGAAATTCCTGAATCAGAGACTGCATTTCCTCATAGAGCCGGAAACTTGTTCAAGATACAGTACTCAGTGAATTGGGATTCACCTGATATTGAGCTTGAAAAGAACTACACATCTCAGATAAGAAGTCTTCACAGCTTCATGACTCCTTTTGTGTCCAAGAATCCAAGGAGCGCTTACTTGAACTACAGAGACCTAGATATTGGCATTAATCATAATGGTAAAAATAGATATAATGAAGGTAGAGTTTATGGGGTAAAGTATTTTAATGAAAATTTTGATAGACTGGTGAAAGTGAAGACAATTGTTGATCCTGAAAATTTCTTCTGGAATGAGCAGAGTATCCCTCCTCAACCGGGGAGGGGCAGAAGGCTCTGAATACCTAAAGTTCAGGATGTTGAACATGTCATAGTTTCTAGTTTTATATCAGCAAACAGAAATAAATAAATTCGTACTTCTTTTACACACGGCATAGACATGACTATGGAGTTGCGAAACCCAACTGTAATACATGGTTAAGAAATAAATAAAATTATTTGAAGTAGGGGTAAATCCAAAGTTCATTATTTGAATATGTTTGAATGTACAAGTTTGATTGATATATATATATTTTTTTTTTTTTTTTTCAGTGTTGAATTATTTGTTCTTATTGATGTTTTGACACATATATACTTATGAAGTTAATTTTATATTTTTACATGTGCGATAACTATGTTATTATAAATTATGAAAATCAAAATAAAATAAAGATATAAAACATTGTGTTTGTATAGTAATTAACAATGTATTATAACAAAATAAAATAAAATAAAAAAAATAAAAATTAGTTAGATTCTTAAAAGAGTTAATTTTCAATTTGGCCTCGTAATTGTTTTATGAACATTTGGTTAATTTTTCCAAGCAAGTTGATTGCATTTGATAGTTGATTTTGATTTGTGTGGCTATAATAAATAAAGAAGACAAATTTATATAATGTAAAGGTTTTGATAAAAATAGAATTATATAAATTTAATAGAGATATAATTGACAAATAAAAATGTTATTAATGTATATGTTTTAGTATTCAGACAAAAATCAAGTTTTTTGGCTTTTGAGTTTATCTGATTAATTATCAGATAAAAGTTAAAAAACAAACAAATATAAAAGTTTTAAATCAAATAAAATTAGACTTATTCAGACTTAAAGACCAAAAAATAAACAGCCTCTTAGGAAGAGAGTGAGTGTTACTGGAAGTCCAGGTACCATACTTTTCAATAGTAATAAAAATGTATTTAAAGCATAAACCGTATAAGCCTAGTTTAAGAATTGATTATGGAGATAATTGAAGCCCCATAATTGCTATATAAGTATACACCTCCTTACTCCTATGATACCTGAAATTTTATGTGTTCTAAGTGAGGAATTTTGAGAGTAAAAGTGTTTGAAGCTTAAAATAAAGATCTGAGGAGAAAATGAACTTCTCTATTGATTGAGACTTAAACGAAATACGGCTGACTTCTCTTTTAGATATGCAGAGAAGTTTCAGCTGAACTTGACTAAAACGGACAAGAAACGAAACTGGTCAAAACGACACAGTTTTTGTTAACACTTAAACTACAGAATGACAGTGTTTTAGTCTTGGCACACTTTTATCTTACTAACAGCCCCCCTCAAGCTGAACTACTTTGTAGCTTCAGCTTGCCAATTCAGCTTGTAGCTAACATTCTGCTCAGGTGAAGCTCAAATTCTGCTGCTTATAAATTCTGCTTTGAAACTCAAAATCTGTCAAATGCAGAAACATAAAATCTGAAGACTTTCTCAAGTTTGCTGCAATATAAAATCTTCTTCTTTTGAATTATCTTAAACTGCTGTAAAATTGACTTGTAAAAAAAAACATATGCCAACAACTTCAGAGTAGAAACTGATCACAAAATGCCAACAGCTTAAGAACAACAATCTTCATAACTGATCAAAAAAAAAAAAAAAAAAAAAAAAAAAAAAAAAAAAAAAAAAAAAAAAAAAAGAAAAAAAACAATGTCAGAGTAGAAACATCTCACTGATCCATCACAAAATGCCATCAGAATTAATCACTACTTCACTGCTTTTGCTGCCAGTAGCTATAACATACCAAAGAACCACTACTATAACCAGTAGCTGCAACACAACAACTAACCAACACATAATGCCATAATGCATCAATCGCTACTATACTGCTTTAGACAGCAGTATCTTCATCACAACAATTAACCAACACACAATGACAACATGAACAAATCACTACTTCACTACTTCACTACTTCACTACTTTAGCCACATAATGCCATCAGAATGCATCAATCACTGCTATACCGCTTTAGACAGCAATAGCTTCATCACAACAATTGATCAACACACAATGTCAACATGAACAAATCACTACTTCACCACTTCACTACTTCAGCTACATAATGGCATCAGAATGCATCAATCACTGCTATACTGCTTTAGACATCAGTAGCTTCATCACAACAATTGATCAACACACAATGTCAATATGAACAAATATACAGCCAACATAAACAAATCACTACTTCACTATTTCACTACTTCAGACAACAGTAGCTTTAATCACTGCTTCATTTAACCAACATTTTACTTAAGCAGATTCAGTCAGATTTAACAGTTAGCTTTGCCTTTAGTTCTTCAAATTGAGCAGCAGGGAAAGGCTTAGTGAGTATGTCAGCAATTTGCAACTTAGAAGGTACATATTGAATAGCAACCTTATTAGCCAATACTTGTTCACGAATGTAGTGAGTGTCAATTTCTATGCGTTTGGTACGAGCATGAATAACCGGATTCGAAGCCAAGGCTCCAACACTCACATTGTCACACCATATAACTAGGGTTTTGTTGAAGGACAATCCTAATTCAGTAAACACACTATTCAGCCAAGCAATTTCAGTAGCTGTGTGCGCAAGAGCCCTATACTAGGCTTTCATAGAGGAAAGAGCCACAACTTTTTGTTTTCTAGAGCTCCATTAGATTAAGTTAGGACCTAGGAACACACAATACCCACTATTTGACCTTATATATTCTATATTACTTCCCCAATCAGCATCAACATAACATTCAATTTGAAGCGAGACAGCAGGAGTGATTTTCAGCCCATGGTCTTTAGTACCCTGAATATATCGCATGACTCTTTTGCAAGCTTGCCAATGAAGGGTAGTTGGAGCTTGTAAGAATTGACTTAACTTATTAACTGTAAAGCTCAAATCCAGTCTAGTTAAAGTCAAGTACTGTAAAGCTCCTACAGTACTCCTAAACAGGCTGAGATTAGAAAATAGTTCACTATCTCCTGAAAACAGTCTCGCGCTAGTAGCCATAGGAGTAGCACATGCATTGAATTTTAACATATTTGCCTTGGCAAGTAAATCAGTAGCATATTTGGACTATTTTAAATGTAAACCAGTGGTTGTCCTTCTTGCTTCCAGTCCTAAAAAATAATGGATTGAACCAAGTGTTTTGAGTGCAAATTGATCATTAAGCTCATGCACCAATTGTTTTATATAGGACAAATCTGAACCAGTTAACAATATGTCATCAACATAAACCAAAATGTAAACAACTTGACCATTTTGACGCAGGATGAACAGGCTTGAATCTGATACAGAATTAACGAAACCTTTCTGCAGAAGAGCTTGTTTAAGCTTGTCAAACCAGGCCCTTGGAGCCTGCTTAAGTCCATAAAAGGGCTTTGTTTAACTTGCAAATTGAAGTGGGTTGTGTGGTATCTTCAAAACCAAAAGGTTGAGTCATATAAACCACTTCATTTAGTGTGCCATTGAGAAAAGCATTTTTTACATCCACCTGTTGGATATCCCAATTGTTTGTCACTGCCAAGGTAAGAATAATCCGTATTGTGGAAGGCTTGATTACTGGACTAAAGGTCTCAAAATAGTCAAGGCCAGGGGTTTGTTGAACACCTTTGGCTACAAGCCTTGCTTTATATTTTGGAGTGACCCATCGGCATTGAACTTTGTCCTAAAGACCCACTTATTTCCTACAACATTCATTTCCGAAGAAAATGGGACAAAAGACTAGGTATGGTTGGCAATTAGAGCATCATACTCTACTTGCATAGCTAATTTCCACTCATTGCCAAACAAGGCTTCTTGGACAATGCTGGGTTTAGGTATTATGGAGGCAGCAACTAGTAATGTTGTTTTGGGAAAAAACAGCAGATTTGCTTCTTGTAACCATAGGATGAGTGTTTATGGGAACCTCTAAAGAGCTTGCAATGTCAACAAACTTGGACAGATTCAGATCAATTTCAATAGAACATGATGGTTTAGTTTTTCTGTGAGATCTGTGTATGATTGGTTCTGTTTTGTTTTGAGAATTGTGTATGACTGATTCTATTTTTTGAGAACTATATAAGGTTGATTCAGTGTTGTGAAAGTTGTGTAGAGTTGTTGAATGATTAGGAAGTTGTGAAGTTGTTAAGTCTACTGTGATAGTACCAGACAATGTTTTTGATGGTGGAGATGCACTGGATGATGGTACAGGCAATGTATTTGATGGTGGAATGCACTGGATGATGGTACAGGCAATGTATTTGATGGTGGAATGCACTGGATGATGGTACTAGCAAGGATTGATGAATTACAGGAGTAATAGATGGAGAGAAGAGTAAATCCTTACCACTTGTTGGAGGAGAATCATTTGAAGGACAGGTTACTCCAGAAGGACCAGAGCTAGCTGAGCTGGAGGGATTATGGATGGAAATGAAAGGGAAAAATGTAGGTGCAAGGGAAAGGGACTCAGGTGAAGAAGACTGGATATATTTAACAGTGGTGAAACCAGAAGAAAAAGGAAATTCATGCTCATTAAACCTAACACTAGGAGTGATAAAGATTCGACCATCTGAGCTAAGACATTTGTAACCCTTATGCATCAAACTATATCCAACAAAAACACATTTACTTGAATGGAAACTAAACTTATGTTTATTAAAAACTCTTAGGAAAGGAAAACAAGCACAACCAAAGACCTTCAAGGTATCATACATAGGAGAAAATTTAAACAGTAACTAATAAGGAGATGTATGTTGCAGTACATCAGTAGGCATTCTATTTATTAAGTAGACTGCAGTTTCAAAAGAAAGCCACCAGAAATTTAAAGGCATAGAGACATGAGCTAATAGTGTTAAACCTGTTTCTACAACATGCCTATGCTTTCTTTCACCTCTTCCATTTTGTTGATGTACATAAGCACAAGAATATCTAAACTGAATTCCTTCACTAGTTAGATATGGCAATAATCCCTTATACTCACCTCCTTGATCAGATTGAATACACTTAGCTTATAACCAAATTGTCTTTCAACTAAATGATGAAATTTGATAAATATAGACCTAACCTCAGCCTTAGTTCTAAGGGGAAATAGCCAAATATACCTACTAAAGTCATCTAAGAATTGCACATAGAATCGAAAGCCTTCAGTTG